AAAGACTTTTCTTAGAACATTCAAGTAGAAATGACATTATAAGGATGTTCCGAGAATGTTGATCTCAGAACGTTTTCTCTCAAACTATATCAAATATTAATACAATTAGAAGAACATTCCACAAACATTACTTTAGGAACAATACATTTATATAACTTTAAAAAAAAGAGATCTCAGCAATGTCCCGTGCTCACATTTGCCAAGATCCAAAGGCGCAGAATTTAGTAGGGACGCTAGGGGCATGTCTCTATCAATATCCAGCGTCTACTAATTGTCCCTAGCGATAATTTTGATCAAACAATTAAATATATGTGTATGTAACCAATGTTGTTGTATTTCGGCCGCATCTGAAATAGGTCATACCATTGATATTATCTGAGAAGTTAAAGTAAATATGCTAGAAAACTGCACGCTTTCAAGAACGCATATTTAATAGATGTGTGGAGCAAGAACAGATAAGAGAGCAGAAGTGTTTCAAATATACAAGCACAGTTCAGTTGAATGATAAAGGTCACTCTTTAACTTTGTTGTTCTGCTGTTTTGTTCATCTGATTCTCCCATTTGCTCTTTTTACACTGACTATCACTCTATAGACTAATATAATCAGATGCAACAATTGGTCCCACTTTATATTAAGCGGCCTTAACTACTATGTATTTACATCAAAAAATAAGTACAATGTACTTATTGTGTTCATATTGTATTGCAAAACACTTTTGCTGCTATTGAGGTGGGATAGGGGTAAGGTTAGGCACAGGTTTGGTGGTATGGATAGGATTAAGGGTGGGTTAAGGTGTAAGGGATGGGTCAACAGTGTAATTATAAATGTAATTACACAAATTAATTACAGATGTAATTACATGCAGGTATTTTTTTTAAATATAAGTACAATGTAAAAACATGTATGTACACAATAAGTGCATTGTACCAAATGATTAATTTAAATGTAAGTACATAGTAGTTAAGGCCACTTAATATAAAGTGGGACCCAACAATCATTTCTCAAATATTTATTACAAAATATACTGATAAACTGAACATTCACTTCAATGGTATGAGAGACTGGATGATTTCAGCTGATTTGCTATTGAACTGTCAGCAACTGAGCAGTGCTCAAACTATTTCAAATATAGTCAATTAAGCTACAAACTCAATCATAATGTTCAATGTTTCCATCTAACATGTATTTTGAGTGTTTCACTAGTTAGCAGTAATCCTGTTACCTCTCCTGAATATGTTTGCAGATGTGTTAAATGTTATCTTTGGAATGGAAAAAAAAAATATATTATTTAACATCATATTTTTTCTCTTATTTCAGTTAATGTCATTAAACTAGTGAGCTAAGCCAGTAGTAGTGCTGACAGTGTCGTGTAAACATGGCTGAAGACGCGAAAAGCGGAGGAACAGACTAACCGATTCAATTGAGTCATTTACGCTGGAACTGCTCCGATTGATTCAAACTCGTGACGCGATCATTCAGTTCAAGCGATTCACTAGCAAATTAAAAAAAAAACAGATCAAAAGATCCATTCGTTTTATAATTTCGACATCGCTTGTAATGATTTTAAAGGGGTCATATGATGCGATTTAAATTTTTCCTTTCTCTTTGGAGTGTTACAAGCTCTTGGTGCATAAAGAAGATCTGTAAAGTTGCAAACACTAAAGTCTCAAATCCAATGAGATATTCTTTTTAAAAGTTAAATCAGCCACGCCTACCTAAAACGGCTCGTTCTAACATGCCCCCACATGTCTACATCACGATATGGGAAGATTTGCATAACGCCACCCAAATGTTCACGCAAAGAAAGAAGGCGTAACTTTTATTCTCGCTGTAGTATTGTTGCCGCCGCTGCCGCCGCCATGTCGTGAAAATGCTGTGTGTTTCGTTGTGAAAGCCAAACTACTTTGTTTGGCCTTCCAAAAGAGGACGATATCGCTTCATCATGCCTGGAGCTGATCCGTGCTGGTTGCTGAGGAAATACAACAACTTTGCGCTGTGGATCGCCAGATCGGCTTTCACCGTGGACGAAGCGGAGTCCAGCCCTGGGGTCGCACATGTGGTTGCCGCAAGCTCGCCGGACGCTCCTTCGTTGAATCCGCCGGCCGCTCCGTTCTCAAGCCCGCCTGCCTCTGCTCACTCAAGCCGGCCTCCGCATACTCTAGGCTGCGGTGTGTGACACTCTAGCCCTCCGGTCGTTCCTCACTATAGCCCCCAGCCTCTGCTCACTCTAACCCTCTGGCCGTTCCTCACTATAGCCCCCAGCCTCTGCTCACTCTAGCCCTCTGGTCGTTCCTCACTCTAGCCCCCGGCCTCTGCTCACTCTAGCCCTCCGTGTGTGACGCTGTGTTTCGTTGTGAAAGCGAAACTACTTTGTTTGGCCTTCCAAAAATGGACACGACTAGAAATCAGTGGTTAAGTTGTATTTACAACACTGTTCCAGAACACTTCAACCCAAATATTCAGATGTGTGCAGCACATTTTATGGAGGAC